AGAGGTTCACCTCATGGTCAGCTGAAGCCACTAGGACGTTGTGCTAGCTTGACTGCATACACACATTAAGTCAGGAGACAAAGCAAAGGCATTGGCTCCACACACGAAGGCCGGCCAGGGACAGAAGCACAAACGTAGCCTGAACGGATGTCATGCAGGGGCACAAGAGGGGACACAATGCTCTGGTACCTTTGTTCTGCACTAGCATCCTGGCTGTCATGCTGCAGCAGGTGGTAGCTGTGTCGGTGATAGGAAGAGCTCTTATGCTTTTCTTCAACCTCATCCCTTGGGCTAGAGGAGGGAGAGAAAAAAAATAAAGTGAAAATAACATCACGAAGGTCTCCTTCAGCTGGATATTTGCTCACTCCACTTCTCATGCGACTTACTGTTTCAAGGTCCAAAAATCTCCTTGCACACATCCAGAGAGCAATGAACACAAAACACCACAAACTTGTCTTTGAAACGGGTAAGCAGCTCAGCTCTGCTTCTGACAGAAATTAAGAATCATCTCCCAACAACTCATAACGCAGAAGTAATCCATCACTCACGAGAGGTTGTACAGTGCACACCAGTGAGTATCATCCTCTTGGGCTTGTTTCTCCTTAAGCAATACTGATCACTGGGGCAAAAATCAGCACCTCTCAGTTCTCTCAAGCTTTTGAAGAGAACAGAGGGAAGTGTGACAAACTGACAGCTTAGATAGGACTGCAGTAGTGAATCCAATCAGAACTTTATAAAGGTTTTCAGAGCAAGTTGCACATGCTTCTAAAGAGAAGACCTATTAAACTCAATATACAGGAAGATGATTGAAAAAGAGGAAGTATTCTTACTTTCAGGTAGGCCGATGGCTTGACAGGACTAAAACATGTCCAGTCTTTTTTTTTTTTTTTTTAAAAAAAAAAACAGCAGCAAGTGAAATAACTCAGATCCAGAAATATCTAACATGATATTCTGTTCTCTGAACTCAGAAACGGGGATTAAGAAGAGTTGAAATTGAAAAAATATATATAAAAAATAGATATTCTCTGGACTTTGACTCATGAGCAAGAGAAAAAAAAATAGAGCATGAAGACTTAGTCTCAGCGCCCCCACTGAGTCATCAGACTCAAGACCATTTCTGAAGCAGGATCCTCAGCTGAGGAGGCAGAAGGGCACGGCCTTCTCTTATAATTATGGCCGGGGAAGCACAGCTCTGGGTTTTTAGAAGGACAACACTGACACTCCCAGCTTGCTGCATCTATTCAAACAAAGATGTTTACTGACTCCCACGGAGCACGCAGCCCTGCCTAAGGAGAGTCAGGAGGTGACAGATCCATCTTGCAGTTCCTGCGAGAACACTGACACCAACAGTGCAGTGAACCCAGCACTGACCCCAGCAAAGGAGTTTTGCTTCTAGTAAGTGGGCAGATGTGATGCTGCCTTAATCTGCGTGTATGCTCCACAGAGACATGATCATTCATTGCCTGACTTTTAAAGTATGCTTTGTCTAATCTCCAATGCTTGCTGCATAAAGCCAATCAAGAGGAGACACATAAAATTAAACTATCATTAAACTTGCCAGTTATGCACTAACTGGTTCTCTCACACAAAAGCCTGGGGTGGCAGATCACCTGTGGTAGAATTTAGCTTGTACTGGTTTTGCTTTCAGAAACGATGTTTTCAAAAAATTATCTATTCTCAGGAGAGCATGAAGGCCACTAAATTGAGTATTTCCACTTGTTAACAGAGATCCCTTGAATTGAAAGGGGTACAAGAGGGCGCACACAGTCAGAACTCGCTTAGGAAGTTTAGGACACATCATACATAAATGAGGCACACAAAGTTTGAACCACAGGGTCTTGGAAGAAAAAGAAGGGATGGAAAACTAATTCAACTGCAATACAAAGCTTCTCATCATGCTAGCAAGCCAGGAAGTGCAGAGAAACTGCCCCAAGACAGACCCACCCAGGAGATTACCTGTCTGCCATGCTGTTCCTAGTTTCTCTTGTTATGTCAGGAGCCGCTGGCCATGGCTGACTTACAACACTGTCAGAGGATGCATTTTCCTGAGTTAAAGCAGTCTCCAGCAAAGATGGAGCATTTAGTCTGTCCACTTCCATTTGAGGCATGTCCAAAGAGTGGTGGCTGTGATAGGCGGCGGAGCCCATGCTGTCTGCGGGGTGGCCGGGCTCCAGCGCCTCTGCAGCGGGGGCCGGGGCAGCCGCGGCAAAGCTGCGCTGCAAGGTCTCCGAAGCAATCTCGGGGATGTCTTGGGACATGGCTGTGGAAGCAGAGGAAATGACATCTGGCGAACGTTCACGGGTGGGAGAAGCCTGAGGCACCACCAAGGGCTCCACTTCCTGCAGTTCCAGAGCAGTTCCTGGTGCGACCTGAACCAAAATAACACAGCATAACATAAGTAAAACAAGAGCCTTCGGTCTTCAGAGACATCCCAAGACTCCCTGGGGCCTCTCACCAAGTGCCAAACAACTGCCCTAGCATCAGCTATCACCTCTGAAGTCAGCCAGGCTGTATCCTTTCCTCACAAGATAACTGTGCACTTAAGGAAGGACCCAAAATGTGTAATAAGACTGTCACCACCTTCACTTGCTCCAGGTTCCCTCCAGTTTCCCAGGGCAAACACTCTTCTACATCTGTCTACTATTTGAAGAAATAATTATGTATTCCTCAAACATAAGACTCCTCTCACCAACAGTATCCTTAAATCAAAGGGAATCTTGGCTTGTACATCAGGGAATACAGAATTAGGCCCAAAATTATACCACCTCCCAGCAAGGCCAACAACACACTTCACCGAGTTCTAGTTTGAACACATTTCCAAAAGAAAATTTAACATTGGTTCTACCTCTTTGATATGCTCCTCAGTCCTTCCTCTTTTGGGAGAAAAGGATTGGTTAGTTTTAAACACTGAGTATCTCCAAGACTGAAAGCTAATAACCAAAGCTGAAATAATCTGTTTTACATCATACCTGGAAAAAAAAGAATTAAACAAGGTCTGAAACTATCGTTTCAGACCCATAAGACCAATAAGGAAGAAACTTTTCCAGGTAGCACTGTCTCCTAACACTGTGGACAACAAACCACACACAAACCACTGTGGTGACAACATAAGCAGAACTGCCTTGTTTTCAGAGACATCTTGCTTTGCAGCAGCATCAAGCTCCGTTAATAACTTGACAAACCAGGCTGCAGACCTATGCTGGCAGCTTTGTTTTCCAAAAGACAGATACTGGCCCTGCTATTATACGAACAAGTCTCATTTCAGACTGGAAAAGCCTATAGGGAGGCACCATTGTCCATGAGGAGAAATAAGCAAGCCGTATTTGGAACCTTACTGGAACAGGAGCCTTTGGCGTTAGCTTGTCAGTGAGGCCAGGGATAAGAACAGAATGGCTCCTAGGACTAGTTTGAAGACTGCTGCTACTGCTACTCAGCGTTAGGCTGGTGTCCAGCTGCATCTTAGGGCTCACTGTCAAGTCCTCTGACGTCCTGTACAAAATAGATAAGACCAGATCAGGCAGGTCAACCTAATGATACAGAACTTCTTTGAATGCTGGAGGTGCGAAGCCTGGATTCACAAGTCAGTGAAGGAGCCAATTCACAGGTAATAGAGAGGCAACACAAATGTCATCAGTCCTCTCCAAGCTCTCCCCTCTTTACTGCTCCCTGTCAACTAGCAATTGCATCTCCTGGTCACTGTACAGATCAAAGAAAGTCTAAATGCAAACAAAGAAAAGAGAGGCAATGTCATATGTTTAAGGAAGTGTTAGAATTTGATGGAGACAAGGGATGTATCATATCTTCAGTTCATACTGTGGGAAGTTTCATGAGAAAGAGAATACTAGAGAGCAGGCGGTTGGACTTTATCCTTGATCTCAGAAATTCAGTTTTTCCTTATCAGCTGGCAGCCCAACCAACCTCACTCCCAGTTAAGATTTTCCTGAGGGTCCCAATTACTTTTCTGCCCTTGATGCCTGCAGTGCTCCCTTACCTGTAAAGGTGATAGCCCTTTGGGAGAAGCATGGAAAGCAACAAAGTTGAGATGCAGTAAAAGAATCCCTTTGAGGTGCAAAGGAAACACTGTCACCACCCTCTTGGATGACAACAGGCACACTCCAAGCTGCCTTAGGGATGTAAACAGTTGCCCATATAGGCACTCTGGGACTTAGGCCAGTTAATAACTCTGCTTACAATATCCTCTCCTGCAAGATGAACTACAGCTCTTTTCCACCCTGCAGGACAGTATTAGTTCAGCTGCAAAGGAATATGTAATGCTCTATTTACCTGGCCATAGAGGTGTCAGTAACAGAAGCGCTACTCATGGCTGTGACTGCAGTCAGGGAACTGACGCTACTGCCTGGAGATACAGCGATCTGCAAGAAAATAATGAGAGGTGAGGATGCGACAGGAGTGCAACGGCAGAACCTAGAATGCTGGTCCCAGAAGAACTTCCAAGGAGTCTTTGGCAAAATAAGAATAAATGTTGGTGGAGTTGTACTGCTGGGGCAGAGTGATCAAAGGCAGGCCCCAACACAGCCTCATCACATGAAACATGACTGCTTGTACTGAGCTAAGACATGGAAACAGCAAGCAACATAAGGCACATTTTCAGTCCCCAAATGAAGTGGCATTTTGCAGGCTCAGCACAGGTCCACATTATGCTGCTCAAGCTAAATTGCTCCTGTCAAGGTCTGTTGCTAGTGATGAGGCCCGAATCTGCCTGAGATCCTGCTACATAAGCACTATCAACAGGTGATAGCAGAATGCATAAGTGCACAGAAAGGGATATTGCTCACCTTAGCTGGTTAGCAGTGCAGAGCACAGTAGCATATGCTCATCTCCCTGCTGCTTCTGGCCACCAAGAAACAGCTGCAGAGGTCCCCAACACATGCACAAACCTATTTGGACAAGCTTCTGACTCTTGACACCATTTACAGCATAGGTGAGATTAGACTAAACCCAATGCTGATCCACACAGCAACGCTTCCAGGTGCTGGTGCCAGCAGGAACAAGCCTGCCATGGAACAGGTAACAATGAAAAGCCAGTTCTAAACTGGACACCAAGGCTGAGCTGGTCTTTGCAACAAACAGTACATGTAACCATCATTCTATCAACAACATTATTCCCTTGACTCATTTGCGCATTGGAAAATGCATCCATTCTCAGACACAATTAACTTCTGCACTCAGCACCTTTGCTAGCAACATCAAAACACTTATGAGGAGTTTAATTTACCCTTTGCTCCCCAACTTCACTGGGGGCGGGTGTATCACAATCAGCTCAGTATTATCTCCATTTCTTCACGTGTGCATGTGTGGTCTGCACTCACACAAGCTCCTGCACACATATAAGCTACCATTACAACTCCATTACATTCCCCATGTGGAGAGGGAAGCCCTGCCTCAGAATGGCCAGGCAGAGTGCTGCTTGTCAGTGCTCTCACCATGCCTGCAAGAACCACATCAGCGCAGCAAGTGACTGCACACAGTCCATTCCTCACAGGCAGGCAGAAAAAGCACTTACGACAGCACAGTTTCACACTAACCAAATTCAGCCATTGCGATTATGCTGCAGATCACTTTGAAAGGATATATTTTTAAAATCACCTTTTAACATACATTCCTGCAAATTTTAAAAGCCCATGAGAAAACTAATGGTCACAACTTCAGTGCAGAGATAAGGGAGGACATGCAAGCAGGCTGTACAGCAGGAACATCTGAAAGGGGAGGACAAAATAGCATGAGGGTTGGATGCAGATCTGGCCAAGAACCAGAACAGAGGGCTCCAGCCCTCCCGTTTACTGTCAAAACCAAGGAGCAGCAGCAGCAACCTGCACTGAGGTAGGCAGACAAACACGGCTATTGCAGGGCAGCCTCCAGAGGCCCAGCTGCACACGGAGGTGTACAATGCTGGCCACGCAAGTGACAGAATTAAGAGCAACTCGCTGCTTTCCGACTGCTCTGTGGGAGCTCCCTGAGGATAAAATGCTTCCTATGGCTCTTCATCAAATGACTCTGGTGCCCTTCTCATAGTATTCTGCAGGATTTGTTCTACACTCACAGAGGCCCAGCTGCACACGGAGGTGTACGATGCTGGCCACACAAGTGACAGCGTTAAGAGCAACTCGCTGCTTTCCGACCGTGCTGCGAGAGCTCTGCTGAGGATATAATGCTTCCTATGGCTCTCCACCAAATGACTCTGGTGCCCTTCTCATAGCATTCTGCAGGATTTGTTCTACACTCATTATCTGATCCAGAAATCTATGGAAAAGTGCAGCCTGCAGTATATGCTATACGTTCTTAGCCCGTTTCAGCCATGTATTCCCAAATGATTTTGTCAGGCACGATGTGCAAAGATAGCCAAGGTGACAGGCTTTTCTGCCATTATAGTCATACCATCCCCCCAAGCAGGATGCATTAGGCAATAAAAGCAGTCTCCCAGCATAGACAGAGTTTTTTAGCACACCCATTCATTCCACACAACACTGCTACATTGGCAATGTTGTGGCAAAATACAGCACTTTCAACATAAGCTGAGACCAGCCTTGCATTTTAGACAGACCAATGTGTGCGTGTCTCTAGTGTTGGTTACACATGGTAGATTTTTCTTCTGTGCTCTACATTCACTAGTTCTGTCGCTCTAAGTCATTACAGTCTAGAAAAGTCCAGAAGGATCAAAATCCCAACCTATCCCTTGTACCACTATGTAACAGCGCTTTCCTCAGGTTACCTGCTGAAGAGATGTACTTGGCGTCATGAATGCATCTGGAGTCATCAACTTAGGCTTGGCATCATTTGAGAGAGAAAGAAAATCTGCTGGTACAGGGAGATCAGCAATACGCCGCAAGTCCGGTTGAGAGCCGTGCACAGATCCCTTGTCAGATCCCAGCCCTTCTGTGCTTAGATCAGCCATATGGTCTGGAAAAGCTTCCAAGGGACAAAGACAAACAAATTTACAGGAACTTCCCCTAAAAGCTAAAGCTTTAATTCCATAAAGTACAAGTTTATGCCATTGACAATCAGAGAGAATGCCAAGAAAACAAGTAGAAAGTCTGCCACATGCACCTCAACTAATCAAAGTTAAGGACAATGCAAATCCTGTCTTCTGTTTACTCTTTGTATACCAAAGAGTGGATTTTACCAGGCTATAATAATGAGAAATACAAGCTTCATTTCTTCCCCGAAATTTAAGGCCAGTTGTAACAGCTGCATCTCAGAGGAGTGAATTATCCAGTAGAGCACACTGAACACATTTCAGTCTCTCTATCATCAAAGCTCTGGTGTCACCAAGATCTCTTCTGCCTGACAAGAGATGAACCCTATGTTTCTGGAACAAGTGCCAAATCAGCCAGGAAGATGAACCCAAGCACTGACAAAGCATTAGCACTCCTGGCTTAACATGCTCCCCTCATACTCATAGTGGACTCTAATCAAGTGGGCTGTTTTCCTAACTAGCCCATACTCAGAAGCCCTTATACAATGACACTTTTCTAAAAGAAAGAGGCATCCAAATAGGCTCTTACCAACCTTCACACCCCTACCCCAGCAACCCTTAAAGGCCGAGAATGCTGAAGACCCATTGAACACAGATGCTCACCAAACTCTTCATGAGAGCCATGGGAAGGTAGGGATGCAGCTACATCGGGACTATGGAGAGGCTGGAATCTGATCTGCACATCCTGTAGGGCCCTGCAGAAATATCAAACATATGATCAGCTTATGAATTGCCAACAGAATCCTAAGGCTTAGAGGATTGCTCTTCGTAGAACTGAATCCTGAGAAATGCATTTTGACTGTGAGTTTATTTAGCTGTCTCTCCAAGTTCTGGCAACTAGAGGACATCAAAGGTGCTGCCAGCACATTCACATGTGCAGATCTCTAAAGGCACTGTGTGCTCTCAGCAACCTAAAAACAAACAAACAAGCAAACAAACAAACAAACAAACAAAAACAAAAAAAACCCACCACCTTCTCATGGCACCATGCTGGACCACTTCCTCGTAAGGACATGCGAACACACTGTTGCTAGAAGCTTCTGTGAGTTCAAGTAGTATTTATTATCAGTGGAAGGAATTGCTAATAGCAGTTCTTTATATAGGTCAGAGTGGGATTGAGACCCACTTGGACAGCTGCCCATGGTAGCTTTTAAGCATACTCACTTGGTGTGCACACAGAAGAGTTTTATAAGTACCCCAGCTGCCGACTCAACGGCTCCAGCTCCCTGAGCACCTTCTGGAAATGAGACAAAATTAAAATGTGAACTTGAATGGAAATCGCAAACAAGTTACTAGAAAAAACTTCACCGTAGATGAACCATCTACCAGCAAAGCACAATACAGCTCCATACAGCTTTGTCACTTCTCTGCTTCAGAGGTAGATTTATCCTATTATGGGAAAACATCTCCTATGCTTGCTTTCCTTTTCACTGTGAGAACAATCACATTTAGTCTAATGCAGTGAAATAAGCTCCAAGGGAGCAGAGGGTGGAAATTACTTTACTAGGAAAACAGGAGGAAGCTGCGATCCGGAACTATCAGCAATTTGTTCTGGCTGCTGAAGTGAATGGTTGGATAGATTTTAAAAGACACTTTCTGGTTTAACCCACATCCATCTTCCAACTAGGATTCAACCACCCTCTTCTGCTTTAAGCAACAGAAATGACACAAAGCTCTGCAATAACTTTGCATCAGCCAGTGCTGACAACATTCACCCAATATCTGAATCAGTCTAGATCCAAAATCAAGCCTAGCTCTCCACAAAAATGCTAATTTAGGTATCTTCAAATTATCTGAGCACCAAACCATGACCTAAACTTTCACCTTCAGTCTGCTGTTGACTTGTTTCTTCTATTAATCATCTTCTCTTCTACATTTCAGTGCCAGAGCCCCTCCAAAAAAAGTAAAAAGTTACTCTCATTCTTTGCTTTGAGAGCCAATGAGTCACTGATGCTGACAATAACACATACTAACCATAATGATTATGAGCCACAACAGGTACCGAGAAGCATACAAGAAATGTACTGATGGTATGCAAAGCACCTTTCCAAATTCCACTAACAAAGGTAGGAGATCAGAGTAAGCAGACACGTCAAGAGAAGCAGTAAACAAGGAAGCTTGCATAGGATAATTTTCCACCGTATTCTGTATTATATCCAATACAGTAGCTGACAGAATACAGTTCACACATCTCTAAAAAAGCCTTTTTTAAAGCAGAGTCCTCAGCACTGCCACCACACATCTGTTATCTCCTCCCCTCTCTGAAGGGAGCTACTTGCTCATTTCTTCTACAAGCAGCTTTGTGGGTCTCAGTCCACAGCTCGGGGATAAGCCTTCCAGAGCGATACGGCAGAATCTCTCTCCCTCTGTCCAAATGCTGCAACTCAGTAAGACATGTGGTATTCTCACATCCTGGCATAGCTCTGGTGATACTGTTCTGAAGCAATCAACCAGATCCATGACAACTGATCACGAGTTCAAATTTCAAATATTTAATTAAGTAAAGTTTACTCAGTCACAGATATAAAACCCGCCAGTTCTTCCAGGAACTCTGTTGCTCCTGTAAGCTTGCACCAGGTTGTGCTGAAGGCAGCCTCAACCCTACAATGTCAGACACAGCGTAGTAATCTGCCTGCGTTCTTCTGACAGCAAGGAAGCTATTCCAAGCACCACCAGTCAAATCTTGGGCAGCAAATCCTACACTTACTAAATCACTTTCACTTACTAAAAAAAATAATGCAGAGTTGTGCAGGATTTAGTACCAGAAACACCTTGGAGAAGCTTCCTCATGGTAAGAGGCAATGGCAATAAACCGTAGCTTGAGAATTTCAGGTTGGATACTACAAAAATACTTTCTCTAGAAAGTAGTTTGGCCCTGGGGCAGAATACCTGAGCACAGACAGAACTGCTATCTTTGGTGGCCTTCAATACACAATTAGTTAAAGCCACAGCTGACCTAATCTGCCAGCAATATTCCTACTTCAAAGCAGGACCAGAGACCTCCAGAAAGTGCCCTGTAACCAACTCTACTGTGCTTCTCTGAAGTAATCCAGCTCTGATACATCAGGAGTTTTGTACAGAAGAGAAGATAAAAATGGAGGCTTTTCTGAGAAAACCAGAACCAGCCAAGAATGACATATCCTGATCTTGCAACAACTAAATTCTTTGTCACCTACCCACACTCAAGTTGTCATTTTCCTCTTCTGCTGGGAGCACTTCAGTATGCCTTAAGCGGCAGCGGCTCACTGCCTGGATGCCAAAGCTTAGGACGGGATGGGTAAGGAGGAACTCGGAGATGGAGCTAAAGTAAGCTTTGCCCTCTTCTTGGTTCTGCAGCAGCTCCATCACATACAGGACCTGGAAGAGACAGCAAGGAACTTCAGAAAACAGCGTGTATGTGTGTGCATGCACCACACGTGTGTGCATTCAGAATATAAAGCTCAGCACCTAAAGAAGACCTGGAACAACATGAGGAATAAAGTCTGAGCCATTTAAATCTCAAACAAGCCACAGAACAGGATATTTCTCCTTCTGGCACCATTGCCCACACAATCAGTAAGAAATGAGGCACCTACTTTTCTTTGTACATCACTCAGTATGAGATATTCGGCGGAGAGGTCGAGGCAGACTTTCAAGCTGGGAAGAATACTCATAGAGCTGAAGATGTCTGGAGAAAAGCTAGATCCACAAACAAGAGGGGAATTACAAAGTAAGGCAGATCAATGCAATCAGAACAATTGCTATGAAGTTGAATTAATTAAAAAACATCTTAAGGCATTTACAGTCATATTACAGCCATCCACCAGAATGAAAACATAATCACAGAAATCAATGCTTACATTAGCTACGAAACCAGCACAGGGAGATCATAGGACAGGATCTGATTCTGAATATTTAAATGCAAAGTGGTGGTTTGTAGTTATTTATCATGTCCCATATTCACAAGAGGACAATGCCCAAAGCTACACATTTAAAGTCAGAGATCCACCAAACCAAGAGAGTCCTTCTTAGAACTGACCTTCTACAGCATGGCATGGAAAAAAAAACAAGTGTTCATCTGAATGCTACATTCTCCTCATTTTAGGAGGGCAAATCAGCAATGGCCTTACATATGCGTGTGGCCTGAAGGCCCATGAAACACCAGCAGAAAAGTTGAGGGAGAGAGGAACTGAAGGGAAATTTGAACTTCTGCAGCTACAGTGCTCAAATTAGTAAATTAGTTTTCTAAAACAACTTCAGCTCTGTCGGCATAGCAGCTT